CTAGTCTACTCATTATCAATTTGTCTCTTTTTAGTCCAAATTCAAAATGAGTCATTAGTACTCTTTCATTCCTTAGAACTTTGTCAAGTTTGACTGGTATAGAAATTAATAAACTAGAAAGTGTACTATTGAAATTTATGAAGAAAAAAAAAAGAATTAGGTAGAATCACAGTCTTTACCAAAAAAGGCTGCAAAGTTTGTGTTGAGCACGTGAGCCCCTCTTTCTCAGTATAGAGGAGAGAAATGGATGAAAAAAAAATTTTTTTTTTTAGGAAAGAAATGGATGAAATAGAGCACAAGTTCGTAGAAGTCAACGGGCTAAAAATCCACCTAGCTGAGATTGGAAGTGGGTCGGATCAGGTGGTGTTGTTTTTGCACGGGTTCCCTGAGATATGGTACTCGTGGCGGCACCAGATGGTGGCGGTGGCCAAAGCCGGGTACAGAGCCATTTCGCTCGATTACAGAGGCTATGGGCTCTCGGATCCGCCCCTCCAGCCCGAGAACACCTCCTTCCTTGACCTTGTCAATGACCTCGCCGCTCTTCTTGATGCTCTTGCTATTCCGAATGATAACAAGGTCCCATCTTTTCTCACCCATTTCTTTCGTATCTGTTTCTCCCATTAAACCATGTTCCTTTTCTTCTAAAAATCATTTCAATTGTGAAAGTTTTGCTCAATATGGTGTCCATAGAATAGATATAAAGTGAAAATTGAGGTAAAATGTTATTTTGATTTCGATAACTGTCCAGGCACCTCCTTCAATTATAGTGTTGACAGTTTAACACTTTATTGAACTTCATAGAATACTCATTTTGATCTCAGCGCAAGCAGTACTTCTCCCTTCTAAAAAACAAGTTAGGGCTGTTTATGTTCAATTTATGGGCTTAACTAGAATTATTCATCTATTAAGTCAGGTTTACTTATGACTTAAATGAAAACACTACTTAATCATGGAGTATATAAATTGAACATAGTTGTAGTTACTAAAAGGCGCTGTGTCATTTTTCGTCCACCTTGATGGCATGATTACTTTAGTCATATATTAGTAATTGTTTCTAAATAATATTGGTATACTATATTGATTTTATATTAAAGATGATTGTTTCGGGTTTTTACCTACCGGTCCGGATTATAGATTTTAAGGACCGTTAGTGGGCCCAATTTTTTCAGATTTGGTCCGCCGTCCGCCTATTTTATTCGCCTCGTTAAAAAGAAAAAACCCTAACCAGTAGCATCTTTCAAGCCGGTCAGGGTCGATTTCTAGGTTTCAATTCGGTTTTTCCCACCCCTACTTTTAAGGTAGTTTTTACTTGGTCTTAAATTTCTGGTCTGATCTCATTATGTATGGTCAAGAGAAAGTCTATTTTATGTGTACTTAACTATAGACTAAATGTCTAAATCTAGTCTCTTAGGTCTGGACTGATCTAGTCTTAGACGACAATGAACCTAACTAAAAACATCATTAGTGGCAATTAACATCTAGTATAGGCTAAACAATGCCTTTTTTCGCCTTTTATAATATTCTTTTTTGTATTCAAATATTATTGATCCATTTAAGTAATGTTGCAAGTGATTATACTCGTTACTCGTTATGACGGTTATTATTTAGGTAAAGTTTATATGTTGCATAATAGACTGATATGGGTAGGGAAATTACTCAACGGTCAGGTAGAATTATATGCATAACAATCCCTCCCTAGACCCATTTGTTTCGGTGTTTTCATTTCTCGGAATAAGTTGAGCTTGTAGAGATTGGATCATGTTGAGTAGATTAATTAAGCTAAATAGTCTAAGTATATATATGCTTTTAATGAATTGATTAAAATGATTTTAAAAAATAATATCATTTCTATTTCTTTTGGGAAAAAAGTGGCATTCAAATAGATCAGCAACAACAACATCCAAGTGTTAGAGCCCATTTAATGACCATGTTTTTCGGGGGTTTTCAGACTTATCGGCTAATTTTTTCACTAAAAACATAAATTTGGATTGTGCGCTGAATTGTATAATTATCAAAATAAGTAATATTGAAGTTACTTTTCTGCTTGAATTGGCTGTAGTTATTGTAAACAGTATACAACAACAACATCCAAGCCTTAGTCCCAAACGAAATTGGGGTCGGCTAACATGAATCGATATATGATATCACCAAAAGGAAAAGAACGAAAATAAAGATAAAAAAGATAAGCTATTATAAAAAAAGATAATATAAAAGAGATGAATATAGATATAGAAGATCAAATAAAAAGGATAAAGTTATTTTAAACCGTATATTAGCTATTTTTATGTATAATTTTTCATTTTTTACTAATGAAATATATTTAAAATACAATTTTTTCATAGTACAGCAGATTCAGTTAATTCAGCCACATTAATCAGAAATTCATCTATTTCAGCAGTCTGCCGATTCAGCCAATATCAATGTTACAAAATGGACTCTTAGTCCCGAAAGATTTTTGGATCGACTAACCTGAATCGATACATGATATGACTATGAGAGCCAAAAACAAAATTTGAAATATGTTAGCGCTTGAGAGAAAATATAATGGAGACGATTTTCCTTGAGGGAAATCGAGTACATTCAAGTATTCAACCATGTTAAGGATCCATCTATTTTCAAATGGGGCCTAAATGTCTAAACTTCTGTCTATATATGCTTCTTGTTTGTGGTGTTGTTACAAGACTTGTCTCACAAGAACATATGTATTTAGGTTTTCTTGATTGGCAAAGATTTTGGATCCGCTGTTCTGTCTTACTTCTGCCTTCTCCATGGGGAGAGGGTAGCCGGATGTGTTACATTGGACGTTCCATTCATGATTTCACGAGGTTCGACATATACAGATAAGCTGCCTGAAGGCTTCTACATTTCAAGATGGAAGGTAGGCTGCTTGTTTCTTTCCCCTGTATCATTGGAATAGTCATATCCAGAAGCTCTTAACTGGTGTTCTTTAAGGAGCCGGGGCGAGCTGAAGCTGACTTTGGTCGATTTGATGCCAAAACCGTTGTGAAGAACGTCTACATCCTTTTCTCCCGGAGTGAAATACCGATTGCGAATGAGAAGCAGGAGATCATGGACATGGTGGACCCATCCACTCCTCTACCTCCTTGGTTTACTGAACAAGACCTAGCAACCTATGGAGAGCTGTATGAGAAATCTGGGTTCCGAACTGCATTGAAGGTTCCTTATAGGTAACTTGATATACCCTCTCAAAATAGGGAAATGACATCTATGACATTTTGCTATTCTTATATAGGGTTGACATTTTATATATTTCTTATATGATTCACATTTTGCAATGAAGACAAAGTCTTAAGAATATGATCATTCATTTTTCTCGTATGGAAAGCGGTATAGGTTATTGAGTTTGGATCAACCTAAAATCATTCTTGACTACAAATATGTAAAACAGTACCTACTTTACAGTGTGTGTTTTTAATTTGCTTCGAGGTGCAGGTACCGTTTGGTTGCAATGATTGGCTTATTCTGTTTGTTAACAGTTTAATCTTGATTAGGAAAACAAGTACATTTCACTTCATTTATCTGACTGGAATTAGTTTTTACAAAAAGCGATTTCCTTTCAGAAAACTCAACCGAGTCATCCGTTCAAGTGAAATAACATTTACTATACAGCCCCTCAATATGATTAGTTGGATATGAGAAAATCATGTCAAGTATATATGGTGTTCTTCATTTCTTGTAGGTCACTTGGTGAAAAACAGATTGACCTGCCAGCTGACCCAAGAATTAAAGCTCCAGCATTGTTCATTGCGGGGAAGAAGGATTACTTCATGAAATTCCCTGGGGTGGAAGAGTACATAAGTGGTGGGATGTTGGAAGCTTTTGTGCCCAATGTGGATATAGTCTATATTCCTGAAGGGAGTCATTTTCTTCAAGAGCAATTTCCTGATGAGGTGAATCAGCTTATCCTCAAGTTTCTCCACACCCACAAGTAGAATGCACCCCACAGTCACATGCTGCTATGATGTACGATAGTATTTTATTAGAGGTTGGGCCTTCGATTACTTAAAAATTTGTGTCTTGAAAGTTGAACAATATCATCTAAGGTTTAGTTCAATGTATACATAACATGCTCTATGCAATATAATTACGTAGTAGTGTAGTACCATTTATACATCCGTGGACAATGTCTTGCGATGGTTTTCTTGTGAAACATAAATAAAAGGCTTGTAATCTATACTCTTCAGGTATATAACTAGGGGAAAATTGAAAATAATAATCGAAACTATTGCAGATCCGCTATTAATAATCTCAACTATCAATTATTCTTTGGGTGGTCCCAACTATGAGGATCATTTCCCAAAAATGGTCTCTAACCTGTTACAACCTGATATAGCAGGTCATTTTTAAATTTGAACTATGTGTAAGCTAGTCATGGACCCGGTTCGGGCCGCCCGGTCCGGGACCGGCCCGGCCCGCCACTGTGCGGGCCCGGAACCGGCCCGGGTCCGGGTCGGGCCGAATTGATTTTTTTTTTTTTTTTTATTTTTTTCATTTTTTGGGGTTAGCCGGGTTGGGCTTGATGGTTAGGAGGGGTTTGGGGGGGTGGGGGGGTGTTAGGAAAGCAAAACAAAATATGACCGAACCGGAGGCCCGGACCCGGACCGGACCCGGTGGCTACCCGGGCCGGTCCCGGGCCTTCCTTCCCAAAAAAAAGCCCGGCCGGGCCCGGCCCGGAACCGGCCCGGCCCAGAACCGGCCTGTGTCCATGACTAGTGTAAGCTTTAAATAATCCTAACTATAGTCGACATTTTTTTATAAATCCCAACTATCAGCTCTTAAATTTTTGAAGATGTAAAAAATTTTTTTTTATAGTTTTCAAACTAAATATTTTTAAACATGTATAAAAAATTACAAAAATTATACAAATGTATCAAAGTTAAATAAAATATTTTTTAGTCATTTTTTATTTATTTCCACTATTTTTTTTTCCTTTTTCCCAATTTGTTTTTCCCAATTGTATTACCAATTTATGATTTTGTATTATTTTCCTTTATTGAAAATTACATTATCTATTTTCAAAAAGTAAATAATGACTAAAATTTTATTTATTTTTTTATGCTATCTTAAATCTGAAAACCTAAATGTTCTATTTTTCCATTTTAGTTGTTCTAGTTTCCTTCTACTTTCTTTATTTTATATTATTAAATTCTATAAATTATATTATATAGTTTATCATTTAATTTTGATGATTTGAGGTATAGGTTTCGGAGGTTTTGACTATATTTAATGAAAATGTATTAATATTATAATTTTAAGTGATATAATGGAAATTGTAAACATGTAGAAAACGTGTATCAAAATGGTAATAATAATCCCAACTATTTTGGTAGGTAGAAAAAGGTGAACTTTTGGTAAACATTTTTTTATCGTCATTTCAAGATATTCACATTTTTAAATTGGTAGAAATTAAAAATTCTAAAATGGAATAAATAAAAAATTTAGATTTTTAGATTAAGCTAGAATAAAGATCTAAATTGTACAAAATTTATTCACAATTTACCTTTTGAAAATAGAAAATGTAAATTTGATAAAGGAAAATAATACTAAATTATATATTGGTAACACCACCGTGAAAAACAAGTTGGAAAAAGAAAAAAAATGAAATTTTAGTGAAAATAAATATAAAAAAATGACTAATTTTTTTATTTAATTTCGATACATTTGTAGAATATTCGTAATTAATTTTTCATGCTTAAAAATATTTAATTTTGAAATTCATTAATATATTTCTATATCTTCTGAAAATTGAGAGTTGATAGTTGAGATTAATAAAAAAAAAGATGAACCATAGTTGGAATTATTTAGAGCTTACACATAGTTCATGTTTAAAAAGACCTGCTATATCAGGTTGTAACAGGTTATGAACCATTTATGGAAAATGATCTGTATAGTTGGAACAACCCATAAATAATCGATAGTTGAGATTATTAATGGCGGATCAAAAATAATTGAGATTATTATTTTAGATTTTTCCTAGGAGTACGTATTTGCTAGATGTATACCTACACACATTAAAAACAAATCAAGTTTGAATTTAAATTGGCTAGTGAATAGTGGTATATAAACGCAAATTATGAGTCTCGACATAGAGATGGTCATGGACTGGGACGGGTCGACACGACACGACTCAGTGAACCGGGACTGGGGCCCGACCCGGGGGTTAAACAGGCGGCCTACAGGCTTCCAAAAGGTGGGTGGGGCTGGTCTATTTGGGGGGTTTGGGGTGGGGGGTGTGGGGCGTTGGAATTAATTCGTAAAGAACCCAAAAAAATTGGTGCCCGGCCCGACATTAACCCGGGCCGGTATCGGGCCTGAATATTTTGGACCCGAAGCCCGCTAGGAGCCCGGCCCGGTCCTGGTCCACCCCTAGGCCCTATCTCAACCTCATGTTCAAAACTCCTCTTACATTTGGAAAATCACTTCTTACATAGAAATTACACTAAATAAAAGTAAAAATAAGGGAAAACTGTCAATTTAGTCCTTGTACTATTACGAAAAAGTCAATTAGGTCCTCGTACTTAAAAAAATTAATCAATTCCTCGAACTTTGTAAAAACGTTCAATTGAGTCCATTTGTTGGTCACTTGCCACGTTAGCAAGTCACCCGCTGACGTGGCACATACATGGCAGTCCAAGCAGCAGTGACTTTGCTGACATGGCACACGTGGAAGTTCAACCATCCATTTGAAGATGACGTGGCACACACGTGGAACGCCACATGTGTGTCACGTCAGCGGGTGACCTGTTGACATGACAAGTAACTGCAAATGGACTCAATTGAGCGTCTTTACAAAGTTCGAGGATTTAATTGATTTTTTTAAAAATACGAGGACCTAATTGACTTGAAATTCTAAAATAGGAGCACTATATTTCCCCTCTAACTAATATAACTATTGCAATCCTTGGAAAATAATACGGAGTATCAAATTGTTGGCACTAATATTTCTAGATTTAGATAATAATAAAATATAAATACTCCTACATCATATGTTTAATTTGCTACAACATGCCAGACTTGATAAGAACCAGGACATACAGGCTCAGGAATCAAGATAGACAGGGACGGATCCAGGATTTCTATTCAAGGGGGGCGAAATTTTTCGGTAGTGTAGGGGGTGAAAAAAATTCGTTAGTGTAGTGGGGCGAAATTTTTTCCCTAGTGTAGCGGGGCGAATGTTTTCCGCTACTGTAGGGCTATGCGGCTAATTTTATTCAAAAAATGACATTATTACATACACATCCCCAACGACATTTAAATATATTAAGTAGTACATTCTAAGTTTAAATTAGACGATGACAAAGACATCAACCAAGACATTTTTAATAACTTCTACATTGTTTAACCTCATGAATCGGTTATTATTGAATTGTAATTTTTGTCCGGCCACCAAGGAGGGTGTTCGTGAGTAATGACTCATGAGAAGTTTTCTTAATATTACAATTGTAGTATGTATGATATTATTATTTTTAGAATAATATGCACCACATACACACATATATGGTGCATATTATATTTTAATATTTGTATTAATGCTATAATAATTTAAAGTTTATTATCTATGCAATAAATTATTTTTAGAGAGCAAGAAGTAAATGAATTATGTAATTTAATGTCAATAAACATTTATATTTTGGATTCATTTCACGTGATCTAAAAACTGTGTAATTAGTGTGTCTGATATTTAATATTGTTTGATATACGGAGTATATTTTACAAAATCAAGTACTTGTTATCTAATAAAGATAATTAAACACTACAAAACTAGGAATTCTTATATAATAAGTATACTAAATCTTAAACAACGCATTATTCTATTGTTTATTTGTTTAAGTTATGTAATTATTTTAGATGTTCCTTTTTTTAAATCTTCAATTAAGTATTACATTATGTAACACTATATATTAATTTTGAAAATTAAAAGATAAGGGGGGCGAATCTAATTAAATTATGAAAGTTTTATGAAAATATTACATATGGTAGAAAATTTTAAAAGTCCAAAGGGGGCGGTCGCCCCCCCGCACCCCCCTAAATCCATCCCTGAGGATAGAGTCATCCGATGAGCTAGCATCTTCATATATTTTTGAATTTTACTTCGTAGTTTATAGATACAGTCAATAGTATTGCACAACACTAGACACACATACTAACATGTATGATTCACAACTGCAATACAATGCTAACCGTCGACGAGTTTCATCCTAAAAGGTAAACCTGATAGAAGAAGTAATCTAGATCTTAATATAATACTTAATGCTTTCACAATTATGCAGTGTGAAAATTCAACACTAACTTAAACAGAAATTCATTTTTCCTGTATCTCTATTTTATCTATGTAACAGACAATTCGTAAAAAGACAAAAAAAATGTTTGGGTCTTGACAATTTAGAATTATCAATTAATGCAATCATGTGATGTGTCGGATGTCCCCGAAGGAACAATCATGTGATATGTACTACGTATTATAAGAGTATAACATAAAAACGTGTATCATTATGACATATAGTTGTTGCTTAAGTTGTTAGTAACTTAGTAACTCACTTGACATGCATATTAAAGGGGGTGTACTCGATATGAATTGTTGTGGACTTTTTTTAATCCATGGACTTTTAAAAAAGTCAATGGACTTTTAAATCCATAGACTTTTTTATGAATGAATTCTATGGACTTTTAAATCCATGGATAAGTTATTGACTTTCAAAAAGTCCATAGACTTTTAAATGCGGACCGCCACTGCTGGTCGTCAAAATTTTCACCTAGATTTTCTCTACCGATATGCCTGTGACCTGTCCGCATCCATCACCGGAGTTCCCCGCTGTCGTCATCGGACTGACGCGTCACCAACAAAATGGCTTTGGTTGTGAAAGGGAACTAGGGACAATTAATTATATTAATTAATTAATTAAATTAGGGATGAATATGTAATATTTATTCCCATTTAAGAAAAACCAAACATTTAATCATACTTTAAGAATAATGCTATGTTTTAGTCCTACCGTGAGTGATTTCCTCTATATAATACGGAGTACGATAAGAAATAAATAAGTAAGTAAATAAATAAATAAATAAATAAATAAATAAATAAATAAATAAATAAATAAATAAATAAATAAATAAATAAATAAATAAATAAATAAATAAATAAATAAATAAATAAATAAATAAATAAATAAATAAATAAATAAATAAATAAATAAA